TTATAACAAGGCTGCATTTAAAACAGCTGTTGTAAATAGCCTGACCCCAGGAGGGCACGTAGCAACAGAGTCTGTAGACATGGGAACAGCATGGGATATGTTAGAGACCTGAATAAGACAGGAGTGGTCTGTGGGAGAATGAATGATAGTAAAGAAATGGAAACCCTCAGGAAAAAGAATGACTTGGAGCCAGTTCAAGCTGTTACTTTTGCTCATGTAACTTCCCAATATCCTTCCATGCGGTGGCCAGGTAAAAAGAAGGGGCGGAATAACAAAATCCTGCCAGCGGCATTAAAAAAACCTGCAGCAAGGAAGCAGCAGCGGGACCAGACATGAGTATACATATGAAATGATTTCAGAAACTTGGAGAGGATATGAGATGCTGGAACAAGGCTTCAACACACGTGCTAGTGGCTTGCTTGATAGAGATCAGCATAAAAAACAGGGAGAGTGAGCTGAGGGCTCCTATCTCATCAGTCATTGAACAGGGAGGCCCATCACCTGCCTCCTTAGGGCTCATGAAGTCAAAAAAGCATTCCACACGCAGAGCAAAAGTGAACAGGCGACTGAGGTATGAAGGAGAGCAAAGCAGCTCAGTGTGAATGTGGAGAGGGCTGCATTTATAACTTGCCACTCCCCTCAGCTTCTATCACTGAATCTAAAAGGGATGAAAACATTAGATTTAGATTGCAACTGCAGAGGGACACTGAATGGAAGGTGAATTTATTCTACTCACAGAACCAAGTGAGGTGAATCCCTCTCTTGGAATCACCTACTCAGGTCGAACAGCTTCCCTCACAGCTACGTGGAATTTGCAGAGATCTTTGCTGGAACCAGCCAGAAGTTTCTTCTCAGTTCCAGCACAGAGACCTCAGCAAGGGGAGTCATCAGTATCCTGAGTTCTTTTTCCAGGACAAGTGTGACTTTAATGCTTTTTTTCCTCCTCATGGTTGAACCTGTTTTATTTTTTTTTAATATACTTGCTCTTTCTTCACTGTATGTAACTCCATGTTATGTATTTTATATATCCTGGATATTTCCTCTTTGTCCTCTTTGTTGTATCTAAAACTGGTCTTACCTAGCTGACAAAGTTGTATTTCTTTAGTGACCAGTAACTGACCAATGGTGGTTCATATTCATAGTCCTTTGGCACCTAATATCTTCCTGTATTTGCATTTTCAAGACTTCTGCTGTCACTCCATGTCTGCACACTTCTCCATTTCACTTTTATTCCAGGGTCATAGATAAGTCACTCCACACAGAATAATAACTAGATACTATTATCTAGAAGTTACAGAAACGTGTTAGCATTATTATAACAATATATGTTGCATCACGCAATTGCACAAAGCAAAGCCAACACTAAAAACAAGCTAGGTAATAACCACCTGGTCATTCTCCAAGCAGATCAAGACAAGTCCAGAAAAAGTCTGAGAAGTCTCAAGGCCTGTAGTGCTAACACAAAGCCTCTGGCCTCCTAGTAGCAATGGCAAGACCATGGTTCTTCAGCTACTGCACTGTAGCAACCATTCCCCCACATCAGGGCTTGAAGTGTTTTGAAACTGTGGTTTGAATAAACCCAGCTTGGCTCTCTGCAGACAAGACCAACTAACTTCACACGGAACTATTTACTAATGGATACTGAAGAAATGGCATTTGCTTTTATACCTGAGTAAATCCAGAAGCTCCTTGATAACAAGCAGTCAGGAATGGATTCTGATCTCTCTTCCCCTGTTAAAATCCAAGGTCATGTCCAGATTATAAAGGTCTGGTTTCTTAGCCCCAAGGGTCTCTCTGTGAGGTTTTCATAGGCTCTGTTATGTAGCTTTCACAGTGGGACAGAGGATGGAGTAGCCACAAGTACAGAATCACACCACTCGGTGGCATAAATTTATGGCTTTATTTACCAAGCAGAGTGGGTATAGCAGATGGGATAGTGATTTCTATTCTATCACATACACAGATACACACTCTGTATCTCACGCTCTGTACAGAACACAACACAGGCCTTTGATCCGGGCCTCCCTCTTTGAGGGACAGGACACTCACTGCAGTTTTTGGAGGTGTCCAGACTTGGTTGGTGACCCAACTGTTACATGTAGCAGTTCCACCTGGAGCACAGCCTCCTATGCAGTTTTGGGTGTTGGCTGATGTGTTCCCCCACAGGGTTATTGTTTTAACTGTTTACTTCTTTCTAACTTAGATGGCCAATATAAGCTGTCAATGGCTTCACTGGTCACATCACTTCAGACGGATCCCTCAGACCTTCCTCATATCCAAAGCAAACTAGCTGGGTTACTATCATGTTTTGGTCTCCCTCTCCAAATCTGTTACATGGATGCAAAGTTGTGAAAAGTTCCTCTGTGCTTCTTTTATTTTCCATGTCTACTTAGACCATTAGACCATGATAGATTTAGTCCAGAGCTTTTGGGTAAGCCTACTGTGTTAACAATTACTTATGCTTGGTCTGTTTTCCTAGCATATACCAGAATCATCTAATGAGCTAGAGATGGGCAGATGCAGTCAAGGTCTCACTTATCTGAACATTGTTTTTAGGCAGGCTTCAGGCCATGATGGTAGTAGAATTCTAGACTTCCCTAAATCCTGGTACTAGGACTGTGCTATGAGCAGATCAACCTGTGGGACTGACTGCTACCATATCTCTTTCCCCTTCGCATCTTTTTATATGAGTAAGGTGCACTGAGAGTGGGAAGCAAGAAAGGGCATGTCAGATTTTATCTATCTTTTCAGGAAGTCCTAAATTTAAACACCCTGAGACAGAGGGAGGCAGGAAGAAATGACGGGGTTGGGACATACCTAAAATTCTCTCCTGTCTATTTTTTACAATTTGCAATGAAGGACATGTTAAGACGTGCCCAGGTGCAGCCATTTGCACTTTCGGGAAGAACGAATAGGCAGTCTTCCAGCACTACCATCTAACATCACCACCATGATCCAGCAGAGAATGACAGCAGACCAAAAGGCATATGAAGAATAGGTCCAGCTCACCCACCTACCTGCCAACATAGGCCACACAGAAACTGCCTCCTTATACTCACCTTTCATCCTGTGAACCAAGAGAATGCCTCTTCCTGGGCAAATAATCCCATCTCTTACATTTTGAACTGGTTCTTCTCACAGAAGCCCAGTTCCTTCCCATGTAACCACTGGACTGGGCAAACACTTGTATACTCAATGGCAGGAGGGCTAAGAACATATAAGACAGCTAAAGCAGTGTGTGTGGGCAGAATGGATAAAAAGCATGGACAGATTCATGAAGAGTGGGCATGAGGGAAGGCAAATGGACAGATGGATGGCACAATGGCTAGGGGCGTATGTGCAGACAAAGATGGATAATTAAGTGGTTTGAGCTCTAGATAGACAGGCTGTAAGGGGTGTAAAAAAATCTTCAGCATTCGTCCCTGCTTCAGGGCAGACTCTGACATGTAGAGACCCAACCTGCAACTTGATTTCATTCTCTATCTTTCCCTGCACAAGATGTGCGATGCAGCAGCTGACAAAATAGACAACTTTATCTGAGCCAGTTTTACAGATTCCCTGTGATGTCTGTAGGTGGAAGGTGTGTCTTTCAATGTGCATTTCATCACATTTCAGAAGAGACATCTAAAGTCAGGCAGTAGAATCACATCCTTGAAAGAATCTGTTTTTTTCTATGACTATACAGACAGGTGAGAAGGTGCATAAGCAGAGGAGAACCATTACTATGGCTTAGATTCACTGAGAGCAATTCCAGACTATTTCTCCACTGCAAAATTCTGGATTTTTTATTAGAAAGTTAGAAGCACTTCACTGGCATTTACTTGGGCTCTTTTAACTATCTCAATTTATTTTTTCCAAATTGCTTTCTTTTACTATTCAATGGGTATAATTTGTGTCTCATTCAGTTAATTATGGGTTGCACTGGCATTTTTTTTTGCATTCTTCCAATAGGTCCTAACTCTGTAACTGTGCAACTCTTCATTTTCATTTTTCTTTGTTTTGAACCTTTGTTTTTTTTTTTGGGGGGGGGGTGGTGGTGAAAGGAGGGAGGAGTACATTCTGCTTTTAAGAACTTACCACCATAAAAATTATTTCTTCTTCTGGCACTTTTCATGCCAGGAAAGAAAAGCCCTCAACGACCACCTTTTGGCAGAGTCAGCCTTCTACACCCAAAACCCAGTTTTCCCATGTTGTTTCTTTCCTCTTTGGCAGCGGTCTCGCTGAGCGCAACCGCCGCAGGGCTGC